CCCAAATGAGGAAAGTCTGTGGACTAAAATCACAAGGGTATTAAAAGAGGATAACATCAAAGCTGCTTTCATAGACAACCTGGAAGCTTTCTACAACAGATGGGAACATAAAAAGTCTGGGCTGAATGGTACTGCCCTTGATACTGGCCATGTAGTCAGAAACTGTAAGGCTAGATAAGATAAGATAAGATTTCGTTCGGATTTTTAACCCCGGAGGGTTAGCCACCCAGGATAACCCAAGAAAGTCAGTTCGTCATCGAGGACTGTCTAACTTATTTCCATTGGGGTCCTTAATCTTGTCCCCCAGGATGCGACCCACACCAGTCGACTAACACCCAGGTACCTATTTGCTGCTAGGTGAACAGGACAATAGGTGTAAGGAAACGTGTCGGAATTTCCACCCGCCGGGAATCGAACCCGGGCCCTCCGTGTGTGAAGCGGGAGCTTGAGCCACCAGACCACCGGGCCACACTAGCATCAGGCTGGAGGTGATGTCCTGGTAGTCAGTAAATGTGGGGCTGATAGTGCTATCCTGGGAGATAGTAATGGTGAAGCTGGAGGTGTTGTCCTGGGAGACAGTAATGGTGAAGCTGGAGGTGCTGTCCTGGGAGACAGTAATGGTGAAGCTGGAGGTGCTGTCCTGGGAGACAGTAATGGTGAAGCTGGAGGTGCTGTCCTGGACGACAGTAATGGTGAAGCTGGAGGTGCTGTCCTGGGAGACAGTAATGGTGAAGCTGGAGATTTTGTCCAGGTAGTCGGGAATTATACGCAGGAAGGAATACATATAAATGACCTCATAGGGGACAGGAGCCGTAGTGGGGAAACAAGTGTCTTCCATTGCAGACACTGCAAGGCTCCAGGCGGACATCAACCGAATCTTTCAGTGGGCTGCAGAAAACAATATGAAGTTCAACGATGAGAAATTTCAATTACTCAGATATGGTAAACACGAGGAAATTAAATCTTCATCAGAGTACAAAACAAATTCTGGCCACAAAATAGAGCGAAACACCAACGTCAAAGACCTGGGAGTGATCATGTCGGAAGATCTCACCTTCATGGACCATAACATTGTATCAATCGCATCTGCTAGAAAAATGACAGGATGGATAATGAGAACCTTCAAAACTAGGGAGGCCAAGCCCATGATGACACTCTTCAGGTCACTTGTTCTATCTAGGCTGGAATATTGCTGCACACTAACAGCACCTTTCAAGGCAGGTGAAATTGCTGACCTAGAAAATGTACAGAGAACCTTCACGGCGCGCATAACGGAGATAAAACACCTCAATTACTGGGAGCGCTTGAGGTTCCTAAAACTGTATTCCCTGGAATGCAGGCGGGAGAGATACATGATTATATACACCTTGAAAATCCCAGAGGGACTAGTACCGAACTTGCACACGAAAATCACTCACTACGAAAGCAAAAGACTTGGCAGAAGATGCACCATCCCCCCAATGAAAAGCAGGGGTGTCACTAGCACGTTAAGAGACCATACAATAAGTGTCAGGGGCCCGAGACTGTTCAACTGCCTCCCAGCATACATAAGGGGGATTACCAACAGACCCCTGGCAGTCTTCAAGCTGGCACTGGACGAGCACCTAAAGTCGGTTCCTGACCAGCCGGGCTGTGGCTCGTACATTGGTTTGCGTGCAGTCAGCAGCAACAGCCTGGTTGATCAGGCTCTGATCCACCAGGGGGCGTTGACCCCCGGAACTCTCTCCAGGTAAGCAGGAGTCTACTGGCAGGGCTGCATCTGCTCTTGTTGCCGCCTCCAGCAGGAGTCTACTGGCAGGGCTGCATCTGCTCTTGTTGCCGCCTCCAGCAGGAGTCTACTGGCAGGGCTGCATCTGCTCTTGTTGCCGTCTCCATAGTTAACAATTGTAGCAACTTTGTTGAGTTAGGCATAAGAATTAACTGGCCGTCTGTACTACAAACTGAATTGTTTGCCATCCTAATGGCGCTAAAACTAACTTATGACACCGAGCTTGACTCTGTGAATAAATAGATAAAAAGACACAATACCGTGACTGGAACAATACACAAATAACCCGCACATAGAGAGGAGCTAACGACAAAGTTTCGGTCCGACTTGGACCATTTGTAAATGGTCCAAGTCGGACCGAAACGTCGTAATAAGCTCCTCTCTTATATGGGCGGGTTATTTATGTTTTGACTCTTATTATTACTGATTCATGTTATCACTGAAGGCTCTTGACTCGCATAATAACTCTTAACAACATGCTCATTGGAAAAGTCAGGTATAGATACTAAAAAAAATCGTGATGTTATGGATTCCATTACACATTGGATTACTCCTTCATAAGTTGACAGGTTAGCCAAGAGAAGTACCCTCCAGGATAATGTAGGATATAACTAGTGTATCTGTCTAGCGTTAGGCATAATATTAGGAGAGAAGTAAATAATGAAACAATGTTATAGGAATGCAGTTAGAAGCCTGAGTAGATCTATAACCCACTATGGTAACACGAACATAGATAAGTACGTTTATGGAGCAACTTGCAGTGTGAACAGACTGACTGATGTAGTAGTAGCCAGACTTAGGCTTGGTTACAAGTACTTCCGGCAGTTGTCAGACACACATGATGGTCAGACAAAATGCAAATATGTAACCAGCCATATGGTCACTATCTTGAACACTTGTGTGCTTAATTATCCACATATTTAGGAATATAGACATAAACAGTATAATAACCTATCAAATCAAATCAAGTTTATTCTATGTGACATATAAAGATATTAATGAAAATAAAATATCAGATATATTAAGCAAACTTCCTAAATTTGCTTGTAACAGATAAGTGAACTGTAAATATAAATCCAGATGTATTCCTGTTAACCCTTTTGGGGCCTAGTTCCTAGGCCTTTTTTGTATCCATATGTTCTTGCGCTACCATCCACAGGATGGATGTGGAGTGCACGGGAAATTAGCCACTTCGGTGGCAAACTTTAATATTTCGTTATTTCTCACATTATCAAGGAATAATGTGAGAAATCTCGAAAGTACTTTGAATTTCACTATTTTTCTCTGTGGTTATTTTGCATATTGTGATATCACCTGTTTACTGTCATCTTATTGCAACATATATTACTATGTATGATAATTGTACTTACATGTACCTGTACTTAAATAAACTAACTTAAAACTGTCTTCTCTCTGGTGAGTGCTGGTCGCCTCTACTAACCCACTAACACTAACACTTCTCCAGATTGAGATTAAGGAAGGTCCAACTAGCCTCCCACCAAACCCTCCTAGTCTCTCTGCGAGCTCCTTTAGCCTCGCTGAAGGTTCGTCTAGCCTCGCCCCAGGTTCTTCTAGCCTTGCCTCGGGTTCGTCTAGCCTTGCTGGGGGTTCTTCTAGTCTCGCTCGAGGACAGACTCGCCTGGAGGCGATCTTGGCCAGCCTCAACACCAGGACAACTTCGAGGACAACCTCGACCTCCCGCTCGGCCACGCTGGGCCGAGACTCAGGGATCAGCTTCGTGAAGGACAGTGGTGATGTCTCCACCAGGGGCAACACACTGCCCAGGTCTCGCCCTCCAACCTTCAATCCCAAGTCGTCCATCACCACCCATGCCCATCCTCTTGCGGTACGACCCCTCCAGAGGGTGGCTGAACCATAATACCCCCCCCCCCGCCCATCTGGGTGGTAGATAAAATGATAGACTTGCCTACTATGGGCCAGTAGGCCTGCTACAGTGCTCCACTCTTATGTTCTGAGATACCAACGTATAAATTCAGTAGTAGTTTGTTTAGTAGACGTGACCCTTGAAGGAGGGAGCCATAATGGTAGTGAAGGGCTGTTGATCCGAGGAATTGGAGCTGTCAACCCTTTAAGTAATACAAGACGTTGATGTAATCATTGGTTGCCTAGTAGAAGTTGATAGGTAGACTGACTCACTGGCAGTGTTGTATATTGTCACTGATATTGTAGTGACCAGTAGACTGTTGTTAGGTCGAGTTGGAGAGAATGTTATTGTAGGTGATGACTTGTAGAATGTAGTGTTGTAGGTGATGACTGGTAGAATGGCAGTGTTGTAGGTGATGACTGGTAGAATGGTTAGTGTTGTAGGTGATGACTGGTAGAATGGTAGTGTTGTAGGTGATGACTGGTAGAATGGCAGTGTTGTAGGTGATGACTGGTAGAATGGCAGTGTTCTAGGTGATGACTGGTAGAATGACAGTGTTGTAGGTGATGACGGTAGAATGGTAGTGTTGTAGGTGATGACTGGTAGAATGGCAGTGTTGTAGGTGATGACTGGTAGAATGGTAGTGTTGTAGGTGATGACTGGTAGAATGGCAGTGTTGTAGGTGATGACTGGTAGAATGGTAGTGTTGTAGGTGATGATTGGTAGAATGGTAGTGTTGTAGGTGATGACTGGTAGAATGGCAGTGTTGTAGGTGATGACTGGTAGAATGGCAGTGTTGTAGGTGATGACTGGTAGAATGTCAATGTTGTAGGTGATGACTGGTAGAATGGCAATGTTGTAGGTGATGACTGGTAGAATGGCAGTGTTGTAGGTGATGAATGGTGGAATGGCGAGTGTTGTAGGTGATGAACTTGTAGAATGGCAGTGTTGTAGGTGATGACTGGTAGAATGGTAGTGTTGTAGGTGATGACTTGTAGAATGGCAGTGTTGTAGGTGATGACTGGTAGAATGGTAGTGTTGTAGGTGATGACTGGTAGAATGGGATGGATGACAGGATGGATAATGAGAACCTTCAAAATTAAGAAGGCCAAGCCCATGATGACACTCTTCAGGTCACTTGTTCTATCTAGGCTGGAATATTGCTGCACACTAACAGCACCTCTCAAGGCAGGTGAAATTGCTGACCTAGAAAATGTACAGAGAACTTTCACGGCGCGCATAACGGAGATAAAACACCTCAATTATTGGGAGCGCTTGAGGTTCCTAAACCTGTATTCCCTGGAACGCAGGAGGGAGAGATACATGATTATATACACCTGGAAAATCCTAGAGGGACTAGTACCGAACTTGCACACGAAAATCACTCACTACGAAAGCAAAAGACTTGGCAGACGATGCACCATCCCCCCAATGAAAAGCAGGGGTGTCACTAGCACGTTAAGAGACCATACAATAAGTGTCAGGGGCCCGAGACTGTTCAACTGCCTCCCAGCACACATAAGGGGGATTACCAACAGACCCCTGGCAGTCTTCAAGCTGGCACTGGACAAGCACCTAAAGTCAGTTCCTGATCAGCCGGGCTGTGGCTCGTACGTTGGTTTGCGTGCAGCCAGCAGCAACAGCCTGGTTGATCAGGCGCTGATCCACCAGGAGGCCTGGTCACAGACCGGGCCGCAGGGCTGTTGACCCCCGGAACTCTCTCCAGGTAAACTCCAGGTAATGGCGGTGTTGTAGGTGATGACTGGTAGATCAGTGTTCTTTGTTGGTTATCCTGGCGTCAGTGTCACTCGTAGTAGAGTCAAAGTTAATCTGGCGTCGCCACACCGCCCCAAGCCGTCACTGCCCTAGCACAAAAAAAAAAAACGCTGACCTTGTACCTTGCATCCTTGTCACCTCCTCGATGAAGCAAAACAGAATGTTTGTTTCTTGCTGTCTTAAGCATAGACAACAATATTTTTACTATGGTAATAAAGTGGGAGCAGGATTTTCCTTAATTGTCCTGCTAAGTAAGAGATGTATTGTCTCTTATAAAAATACACTTTGCAACACCGCTGCAAGGAGCAGAGGTCACTTGACTACGTGGCATAGCATCTGTGATCAATTACTCATTCTAGCAGTAAACAAGACGCTCGCCCCTTCTGAGGGCTTGGCCACTCAGGGCTGAAAGGGGCTGAAGGGGGCTGATACCCCCCTCCTGGAGAAAATTTCTCCACAGGTAGAATGGCAGTGTTGTAGGTGATGACTTGTAGAATGGCAGTGTTGTAGGTGATGACTGGTAGAATGGTAGTGTTGTAGGTGATGACTGGTAGAATGGCAGTGTTGTAGGTGATGACTGGTAGAATGGCAGTGTTGTAGGTGATGACTGGTAGAATGGTAGTGTTGTAGTGATGACTGGTAGAATGGCAGTGTTGTAGGTGATGACTGGTAGAATGGCAGTGTTGTAGGTGATGACTGGTAGAATGGCAGTGTTGTAGGTGATGACTGGTAGAATGGCAGTGTTGTAGGTGATGACTGGTAGAATGGCAATGTTGTAGGTTGATGACTGGTAGAATGGTAGTGTTGTAGGTGATGACTGGTAGAATGGCAGTGTTGTAGGTGATGAACTGTAGAATGGTAGTGTTGTAGGTGATGACTGGTAGAATGGCAATGTTGTAGGTGATGACTGGTAGAATGGTAGTGTTGTAGGTGATGACTGGTAGAATGTCAATGTTGTAGGTGATGACTGGTAGAATGGTAGTGTTGTAGGTGATGACTGGTAGAATGGTAGACATGGTAGATTGTTGTTGGTACCTGACTGGTACAGTATCAAAGATTGACAACCGCTAGATAGTAGAATGTTGTTGGTAGTAAACTGGTAGAGTTAGAGGTTGTTGACTACTGGTAGAATGGTAGACAGTGTTGTGGTTGACTGGTAGACATGGCAGTCTAGACTGGTTGGCTGCCGTTGTTCCACTGGGCTTGTTGTTCCAACTCTCTTAATAGATGTAAATCTTGTAAAGTAGATTTGTTATATATCTTTCTAGAGTAGATTTTTGTAAATATTAACTAATATAAATTAGATTTTTGTAAATATTAACTAATATAAATTAGATTTATGTAAATATTAACCTCTGTAGAGTTGATTTTTGTAAAATATTAACTAATATAAAGTAGATTTTATAAATATTAACTTCTATAAAGTAGATTTTTGTAAAATATTAACTTCTAAACTACATTTTTGTAAATTAAGTAGAATTTTGTAAAATATTAACTCCTGTAGAAAAGATTTTTTTTCCAATATAACATTTTTATTGATATTTCTACATTTGTAAATTTTAAACCTTACTGGAAGGTTTTATTAAACATAAACCTTACTGGAAGGTTTTATTAAACATAAACCTTGCTGGAAGGTTTTATTAAACATAACCTTGCTGGAAGGTTTTTTAAACATAAACCTTACTGGAAGGTTTTATTAAACATAAACCTTGCTGGAAGGTTTTATTAAACATAAACCTTACTGGAAGGTTTTATAAACATAAACCTTGCTGGAAGGTTTTATTAAACATAAACCTTGCTGGAAGGTTTTATTAAACATAAACCTTGCTGGAAGGTTTTATTAAACATAAACCTTACTGGAAGGTTTTATTAAACATAAACCTTACTGGAAGGTTTTATTAAACATAAACCTTGCTGGAAGGTTTTATTAAACATAAACCTTGCTGGAAGGTTGTATTAAACATAAACCTTGCTGGAAGGGTTTTATTAAACATAAACCTTGCTGGAAGGTTTTATTAAACATAAACCTTGCTGGAAGGTTTTATTAAACATAAACCTTGCTGGAGGTTTTATTGAACATAAACCTTGCTGGAAGGTTTTATTAAACATAAACCTTGCTGGAAGGTTTTATTAAACATAAACCTTACTGGAAGGTTTTATTAAACATAAACCTTACTGGAAGGTTTTATTAAACATAAACCTTGCTGGAAGGTTTTATTAAACATAAACCTTGCTAGAAGGTTTATTAAACATAAAACCTTGCTGGAAGGTTTTATTAAAAACATAAACCTTGCTGCGAAGGTTTTATTAAACATAAACCTTACTGGAAGGTTATATTAAACATAAACCTTGCTGGAAGGTTTTATTAAACATAAACCTTACTGGGAGGTTTTATTAAACATAAACCTTACTGGAAGGTTTATTAAACATAAACCTTGCTGGAAGGTTTTTTAAACATAAACCTTGCTGGAAGGTCTTATTAAACATAAACCTTGCTGGAAGGTTTTATTAAACATAAACCTTGCTGGAAGGTTTTATTAAACATAAACCTTGCTGGAAGGTTTTATTAAACAAACCTTGCTGGAAGGTTTTATTAAACATAAACCTTGCTGGAAGGTTTTATTAAACAAATATTTTATTTTAATTAATTGGCCTCTGTCAGTAATGTCTTTTTATTTAAAGATTTTTCTAAGTAATAATATTAATTAGGTTTTATTTTTGATGATGTTAACACTTTGAAGTCAAGTTAACATTGATGGTTTTAACATGCAAGAAATTTAACATGCAGTATGAGATATTATATACCTTAAACTTTATTAATTCTGGTCAGTGTCACAACACTGTAGCTGGTACAGTGTACAGGTAACACTGTAGTTGGTACAGTGTACAAGTAACACTGTAGCTGGTACAGTGTACAAGTAACACTGTAGCTGGTACAGTGTACAGGTAACACTGTAGTTGGTACAGTGTACAAGTAACACTGTAGCTGGTACAGTGTACAGGTAACACTGTAGCTGGTACAGTGTACAAGTAACACTGTAGCTGGTACAGTGTACAAGTAACACTGTAGCTGGTACACTGTACAGGTAACACTGTAGCTGGTACAGTGTACAAGTAACACTGTAGCTGGTACAGTGTACAAGTAACACTGTAGCTGGTACAGTGTACAAGTAACACTGTAGCTG